AAAAAAATCTGTTTGAGTTGATTATGATGTTGTTGATGTTGGTGATTATGATGTTGTTGATGTTGTTGTTGATTAAAAAGTCCGTTTTAGTAATTGATGTTGTTGGTGATGTTTTTATGATGTAGCGGCCTTTTAGGAAACAAACATTTCATAAAGGGGGTACTATTGTAACCTACAAAATAATCAAAATTAAATAAACAATATTACCAAAATAATATAGGACTAAATGGTGCATAAGAAAATTTTTAGAACTAAATGGTTCAACTTTTCAGAAAATAGGATTTATGGATAAATTTTTTAAAATTTAACCTACTAAAATAATCAAAAATTAAAATAACTTATTAAAATAGTAACTTCCCAAACACCCATCGTATAACAATTGGTTGTTGTTGGTTTGAGGGATGGTTTTCGCCATTTGTACGTAATAATAATTTAGTTTATGATGATAAAGTCGTAAGTAAGAAAAAACAATAATAAAAATAATTAATATTTTATTTGAGAATTAAGAAAGGAAATAAAAGAAATGATTATATAAATTCAAAAAGAAAATAAAAAAGAGAAGTAGAGAAAAGATTACAATTTATATCTTATTTGATTTAGTTAAATGGAAATAAAAAAAATTATTTCTATATTATATTACTAAAATAACATTTTATAGGTATTTCATTTTTTTTTCTAAATTAAAAAGGACAGTTTTAGAATTAAAAAATAATCATAACTTATTGATTTATTTTCTTTCCAATCTATCCATTTCTAAAGATATTCAGGCCTCGTCTGGGAACATGTTATTTTAGTAATTTTTTGATTTTTTAACTAAAATATGAGGTAAAAGAAACTAGTATGTTTGGGGTGACTTTTTGACTTTTTACGAAAAGATGTGTAAAAAATAGAGAGAAAATAAAATTTTTAACTTTTTGGTGTAGGTTATAGGTTTTTTGGCTTTTTTAGTAATTTTTTTGACTTTTTGACTAAAACGTTAACTTGCCAAATGAGGCCTCAACATGAAAATAATTTATCACCATTTCTTCACATTTTGTTTGGGATATTCTAAATAATTGCACTTTTTAATTTTTTAAGAAACATGAATTGGATTCGAATTGATGTGATAGAGAGGTAATGTGACTCAAATAAGATGATGTGAGGTTTAGTTTGGCATAATTCAAAAAAGTCAAAAAGTCACTATCCTATTTAAATCATATCATCTTATTTAAATCACATCATCTCTCTACCACATCACTTCAAACACAACCCATATTTCACGTTTTTCGTAAAAAGTCAAAAAGTGCACTTATTTAAATCATCCCAAATAACCCAAGGTAGTGACTTTTTGGATTTTTGACTTTTTTAGGGAATGCCAAACCTAAGTCATTTTTTTTCTCTTTGACCTTATTTGTGAAGTTGACTATTTTAATTGGTTATTTGACTTTTTAATTATTTTAATCTAACTAAAATAATTGTATTTAGAAAGTTTGCTGATTTTTTTTAGTTGATTTAATGATTGTGAGAGAAAAAATGAAATGATTATGAGTTAGATGTGACATTTTATCTTACTAATTATTTTAACTTATTTTATATTTTTAATAAGCTATTTTAGCCCAATTTCTTTCCCAAACACCCCTTTAAATTTAGGGTAAAGCACTAATAAATTCCAAAATATAATCTTATAAATTGTTTAATCCTCTCTTTTTTCTTATGAATTCAAATGTTTCATTAAAATTGAAATTACACAAAATGATAGTCACTTACATGTTTGAGATTAATTTTTGAGGGATAAAAGTAGATTTCTCCAAATATGAAATTACACATTTAGGCAATCCACACTATAGAGATTTTAGATTTTTCCTCCTTCTGAAATAAATCCGACATTACAAACAAAAACATAATACTTTAATGTAACACTCCAATAACATAACACTTTAATGTGACGCTAAAAATAAAAAAAAATAAAAAAACACCTTAGTGTACTTTTTTCAAATGTAACACTCCAATGTAACATATACAAAAATTTCTTAATATACTTTTTCCAAACGTACATTTCAATAAATGTAATTCCAAACATAACACTCCAATATAACACACAAACACTAAAAAATTTCTTAATGTACTTTTTACAAACCTAATAACGTAACACTAAAAAAAAAAACTCCCTAGGCCCCGTTTGGGATGAGTGTTTTGGGCTAAAATAGCCATATAAAACAAAATATGTTATTTTAGCCAAATAGGACAAAATGTTACATCCAACCTATAATCATTTTATTTTTTCTCTCACAAAAGTCAAAAAAATCAAAAAACTTATTCCAAACGAGACTTTTTAGCCCCAGGCTAAAATAGTCAAAAAATCAAAAAGTCAACCCACATCCCCGACGAACCCTTAGTGTACTTTTTTCAAATATAACATTCCAATGTAACACACAAAAAAACTTCTTAGTGTGTTTTTCTTAAATATAACACTCTAATATAATACAAAAGAAACTTCATAGTGTATTCAAACGTAGCACTCTAACCAATATAATTCCAAATATAACATTCCAACGTAATACACTCCAATTAATACACTAAAATTCTAAAAAACCTCTCAGTGTACTTTTCCTAAACGTAACACTCACAGCTTAAAATTATATATTTGTTCAAAACTTACTAAAGAATTTTTGTAATATTATTTTGGAATGGTTTGAAAAATCCCACATCCTTTTAAAATGATTTGAAGAATCTCATATCCTTTTTTTAGAGTGTTACATTGAAGTGTTACGTTTAGAAAAAGTACACCAAAGATTTTTTTTTGTGTTACATTTAAGGAGTTTTGTTAGAGTGTTATATTAGAGTGTTACGTATGAAAAAAATATACTGAGGAGTTTTTTTAAAACATTACATTAGCGTGTTACTTTTGAGTATTACATTAGAATGTTACAGTTTGAAATTATACATTTGCTCAAAGTTTACTAAGAAATTTTTGTACTCATTTTGATATGTTTTAATAATCTCACATCATTTTAAAATGTTTGAAGAATTACATATTTCAAGTCAATTTTGTACTTCTTTTAAAATGTTTTCCAAATAAAAACGATTTTCATATAAAAATTCATCTAAAATTTGATTATCATAGATTATGTATCTTACCTTTTTAGCACAAAAGAAAAAAAAAAAAGAATGAAGCATAATAGAAATAAAAATATAATCGTAAATCTAATTTTTAAATAATACATAAAACCTATCTTTCCAAAATCAATGGACTAACTAGTCTATAAAAAAATTCTTAGGACTAAACGAATTACCATTTTTCAAGATGGGATGATTTATAGGTAACAACAATGATTGAGACCCATTTTTTTAGAACTCCACGATCTCCTTTAAATCTCAATAATTGATGGTATAAACTCTACATATACATAAATGAATCTCACACATACATCAATGATTAAAATCTAAAGAAAATTGTGGAGTCAAAACAAAAAGAAATCCTAAGGGTGTGTTTGGTAACGTTTACGTTTTCAGTTTATATTTACAAAAATTTTATAAACTGGTTTTTGTTTATTTTTTGAAAAACATAAACTACAAACGCGTTTGGTAATTGACAAAATATTTTTAAAAATTTAAAAATACAAAAAAGAGTGAGAAATGGCAAGTGGCGGCAAGTGGCGGCGGAAGACGGTGGTGGAAAGTGGTGATGGTGGGTGGTGGGTAACTGGTGGTAGCGGGTGGGTGGATGGTGGTGGGTTGGTGGGTGACGATGGTGAGTGGTGGGTGGTAGCGAGTGGGTGGTGGTAGTGATTGTAGCGGGTGATGATAGCAGGTGGATGGCGGATGGTGGGTGGTGGTAGCGGCTGGTGGTAGTGGTGGGTGGGTGGAAACTAAAAAGTGATGTTACTAAGTAATGAAATTGGAAAGAAATAAACTAATTAGTACCTTTTATAATATCATAATTACCGTTTACATATATTGAAGAAATTTAAAAAGTGACCCTTATAAAAAGTTATTTTAACAATATAACATGAAACCAATTTTTTTTTTTTACTTTCCTTTTAGGGTTTTTTTTTTATTTTTTTATTTTTAATTTTTATTTTTTTCACGGCGAGCAAAGATAGTTTTATTAACTCCGAGAAAGATACAAAACAGTTTGAAAAAAAAGTTGTATCTCAACTGTATTGACACCTAAAACTAGATTAATCATGTGCATCTCCAAAGTTCTCAATAAAGGTTAGACAGATTTCAACTCAAATCCCACCAGACACCAGCAAACCCACAGACTATACTTGACCTCCCAAACAAAATGTGAGAGATTCCCTTATTTATCCAAACAGAAGGCAAACTTTTTTTTTTATTTATTTTTATTTATTTTTTATTTTTTATGTAATCATTTTTTTTTTCCGTCTCTGCTATGTTTCCAAAACAGAGTGTAAGGTGAAAGTGAGTGAATGGTTAAGGCAAGTGACGATGAACTTGATGCTACGGGTGATTGCGGGGAAGAGATACAGCTTCGGTGACAGCGAGAGACACAAGGAGGCAAGGCAGTTCGCGAGAACGATGGACGAGTTCATGTATTTGGCTGGTGTTTCTGAGTGTTCGGATGTGATTCCCGGGATTGAATGGTTGGATTTGCAGGGTAATGTGAAGTGGTGGCAGGTGGTGGTAGGTGGTGGTGGCGGAAGACGGTGGTGGAAAATGGTGGCGGGTGGCTAGTGTTGGGTGGTAAAAAAAAAAAAACTGAAAACTCAAAATGGAAACACATTTTTTGTGTTTTCATTTTTTGGCCAAATTTATAAACTGAGACCACTGATTTATAAATCAAAAATTTTACCAAACAAGTTTTTATTTGAATTTTTTAAATTTTGTAAATATAAACAAAAAATTAAAAACGTAGGTGTTACCAAACGACTCCTAAACATTTTTGTTATAGGTAAATTCCCCTTAAATTTATTAATTCAAAATAAGTAAATAAAATAATTTGTTTTAAATTTCCTGCCAAATCACCCAAAATCCAACCCGGGCCGGCGTAAGAAATGGTGTGCTCCAGCCATAAAATTCGGTTTGTGGCATTCTTTTCAAGAAATATAAATATAAATCTGTACATCTGTACGTATCTCATCGTTTATTTCCTTTAAACTGTTCTTATATCTGTCTATATATCTAGAGAGAGAGAGAGAGAGAGATTGTTGATTTCTGCTCATGGGTACCCAGGAAGATGAGAGAGTGGAGGAGAGATTGCTCTTGGAAGATGGTCTTCCACAGGTATCTTTCGATCCTTTTGCTTCTATATGCGTGTATATATAATATATACAAGTTGAGGAAGATTTGGACTTTTGATTTTGAACTGTTCCTATTCTGATTTTGAGTTTTTAATTTTGTTTGAGTTATAAAAAAGTTGAGGAAGATTAAGGTTTTAGTTGATGCTAGCTTCCCATTTTATACTTGAGATTGCTAATTGATGTTATGCTTCTCTCTCTTTCTCTATATCTACTTGTGCTTGTATCAAATTCTTATTTTGACTTTTTGCTTTGAGTTTTAAAACAATTGTGGAAGATTAGGGTGTTGGTTGATGTTGACCTTTGATTATATTATTGAGATTGCTTAATTGATTATTAGGTTAATTTATTGGTAAAATTCAGTTTTGGGTATAGGGTTTCTGGAGTGTGATTGGAGTTTAGAAGCTTTGTTTCAAATTTCTACTAGTATTTGAGTGAAAGATATGTTCTTTTCGTAGACCTCAAATCTAAAATTGAAAATTCCAGAGGGAACATCAGTTATAAGGTTAATTCAAACCCAAATCCAGTTCTGCTGGAATGAAATGTGGAGTTCTGAATTATACCCTAAAATTTGAATCTTGTAAACTCATTGGGTTTATATATGTATATATAAATTTGAAGTTGGGAATTGAGGACACAACCTTGGTTTTAACTTTGCCGCATTTATTAGTGTGCAAGATGTTAGCCCATTTTGTTGGTTTGGTATTAAATGTTTAGATAGATTTGCACCCAAGGCTTTTGTCATTTGCAGCAGTTTGGCAATCAACTGTTGTCCTATACTTTAATTACTGATATTTTGAGTACTTTGGCTTCCATCCTGTATTTTAGTTTATCATCAATATCACTGTTGATTTTTTGTTAATTGTTACTTGTTAGTGCCATCGTGATAGCTGATTTGCTGCGTTTACAACCTCTTGATCTTGAAATAAACAACACACTTGTTTCGCTGTTGGTCAGTTACAACTGTTTGATGCGGAAGATGCCCATTTTTTTGCATGCAGCAATTATCACCAGAGCTAGGAGATTGATTTTTTTTCTCATACCAAACCTTAAATAGAATCATAATGCATAATAGGGGTGTTCATGAACCAGATTGGTTCGGTTCTAAGGTGAACCCAGAACCAAACTGGTTGTTACGCTTTTTGAAAATTTAAGAATTGAACAAAACCGTGAAACCTTGGGACCCAATCTGATTGCCAAAAAATGGTTCGGTTGGACGGTTCTAGGACTAAAACAATTCATCATTATATTTAGACTATTCATTTTTTTTTTTTTTAAAAAAAAAACCACTTCATTCCACCTATAGAAACATTCCAAAAAGTTCACAGGCATACTTCAAATTCTTAGAATATTCTCCAAACCAGTTTTTATAAAATGCATAAAGACACAACAAATTCTTTATATTATATAGTAATTATTGTAGAAATGCAATTTTTAAGAATATAAATAGTTTAAAAATCATATAAACAATAAAAAATAATACAATAAAGTATCTTGTGAATATCATGAATGAAGGTTTTGTCAATGTTGGAATGGGATTGAGATTTTAGGATACTAATAAGAACAAGTGTAAAACCTCTTTGAATGTGCTTTGCAAGCTGTTCCTTGGTCTTAAATGTGTTGGAATCTATGTTACCAGAAAACGCTTGTTCCGAAACATGATACACTTTAGTTCCAAAATGGTAAATCTAGTAATCTGAAACGATCCCTAAAGCTTTTTCTAATATATTTCCTTAAATTTTACCTTAAGAGGAAAAAAATCAAATGTAATGAATTAAAATCTAAGGTGACTTAAGTTTTGACAAGACAAAAACTTCAAAAATGAAATATATATATGTATATATTATTGGATGCCCAATAGTTAAAAGAAAATTACTCTAGAAATACCTTAAATTCTTAAGTGTAATATATGCAAGCCTATTCCTATTGTACCACATTTTAGAGCATGTGGCGTACCATGGTTTTGTTCGCATTCTACGTACTGAAACAATCCATGTTCCAGGTAACATAGGTTGGAATGCCAAATAACATTCTTTTCAAACCCAATTAGGTGTTATAGCAGCAGTATTTTAGGTGTTGTTCAGCCCAGATTATCATGTCTACACACACTACATGTTATAAAAGGTTGTCAAAAGCTTAATAATAGGCCAGGGAAATTACCTAAATATGGAGACTCTTTGGTGCCAGAACTTGCTACCCACCCACCCACCTACTCACACACCAATATTTTTACTCAGTAAGGTTTCTGCTCTCTGCCTAACTACCCATTTTATGTCTTCAGAATGAAAGCAGTGGACTTTACACAGGAGATGGTTCAGTGAACATTAAGGGGGAACCCGTGTTGAAGAGCAACACTGGGAAGTGGAGAGCATGCCCCTTCATTCTTGGTAGTTACTACTTCAACAATGTCTACAATTCCTAATGTTTTTGATATTCCATCTTTTTTCTTCTAACATCTTTAAAATTAAAAAAAAAAAAAAAAAAAACAGGATTGTGCAAATAAAAGCTCCCTAAACATGGCCTTAATGCGTTAGATGAGATCGATTCACTTATCTCACCACAAAATTACACGAAGGAAATGTCTCTGCTGCAAGAAATGTTACCACTTGGTCAGGCACTTGCTACCTAACACCCCTTATCGGAGCAGTCTTGGCAGATGCATACTGGGGAAGATATTGGACAATTGCTGCCTTCTCTACAATTTATTTCATTGTAAGTATGAAATGAAGTTGTCATTGTGCTCAAATCTTAGTGCCTTCATGAATAATTGGATGATGATAGATGAACAACCTTAGTTTTTTCATACTGGCTTGAACCTTCTTTGTATTGGACATGTAGTGCATCATCTTATAGTTTTCTGCTCAAACCATGTTTGTAGTTTGAATGATCTTTAGCTTCCAATTACGTATTACCTACAGCATTCTGTTGAACAATCTCTTCCTACTATTGGTCATGGTTCTATTATAGAGGTGAGTGACTTACTAATTATTGGGTGGTAATGAGGTTATTTTGGGTCATTTCCATTTAGGATGTTTTAGTATTCCAGAAATTTACTGATTGTGACGATCTCTGTTCAAGGTAATGGTTTGTAGGAGTTTGATATATTTTTATTTTTTTTCCAATTCAGTAAGAAAAAATATCAATTAAAAATTTATAATCATAGCTATTACCTAGATTTACCTCTTACTTAGTTAATGATTGAGCTGGAATGGAACCATTAAGTCTGATCTTACTTGAATCATGGGTCACTATGGTAGTGGATTTTTAAGTAGAATGTGTTAGCATTTATCATCTTACAACATGGTGCAAAGGACAATAGACCTATATATGTCACATAAACTAGAGATTTAACTATAAGACAAAAAGAATCTGGACATTTCATTAATACCACCAACAAGGCGAAGGAACGGGAGATTAGTAGTATGTGAAATTAGAGGCAATGTTTTACACTACTTTCTTTTTCGAAGAATCCTCAGTTATATTATTTTTTTTCCCATTTCTTAAATGCTTAATATAAAAACAGGGATAGAACTTAGAACTAAATTTCTGGATAAATTTAATGTTCTCAAACAGAAACTTTCCCCATCTCCGATGTTGTGAAATATAATTTGGATAACGTGGCAGTTGGGGATTTATATTGACTCTGGTCTATCCAACTTCGTTGGGATATGGTTTTCTTGACTTAAGTTAAAGCAGACAATAGCTAAGCATTTTTCCTGTGGTTACTAGGAGATAATTACATCAATCTTTTCTGTGTTGTGTCTTCTCAAAATTTGTAGGAATGGATGTTCATGCCCCACTTTTACGTTGTTGAACTGTGTTATTTTGTATAGGGAATGTGCACATTGACTCTCTCAGCAACAATTCCCGCGTTTAAGCCTGCTGAATGTGTTGATTCAATATGCCCTTCTGCCACTACCCCTCAGTATGCAGTATTCTTCCTTGGGCTATATCTAATTGCACTTGGAACCGGTGGGATCAAACCATGTGTTTCTTCCTTTGGGGCTGATCAATTTGATGATACTGATCCTAAAGAAAGGGTAAAGAAGGGATCCTTCTTTAATTGGTTTTATTTTTCTATCAACATTGGTGCTCTTGTATCAAGTAGTATAATTGTGTGGATTCAAGACAATGCTGGGTGGGGCCTAGGTTTTGGCATTCCAGCATTGTTTATGGGTGTTGCTATTGCAAGTTTCTTTGCAGGCACTCCTCTGTATAGATTTCAGAAACCTGGGGGAAGCCCTCTTACAAGGATGTGCCAGGTTTTGGTTGCATCATTCCGCAAGTGGAATTTGGAAGTCCCTACAGACAATAGTCTCCTGTATGAAACACCCGATAAAACCTCAGCAATTGAAGGAAGCAGGAAACTGGAGCATACTGATGAACTGAAGTAATTTTCTTCCTTGTTCTCCTGGTTAAACACTTGTATCACTTCTGAACCATTTAAACTAATCCACTGTCAGTTTTCTTCTGCCATCTCAGAAGCTTTCACCTACTTATCAATTGATTGTTGCCTTAACATGTATTTTAGAGTCTTTTGGACACAAACAACCTTTTTCAAATGTTTTCCGTGTTGAAGCATACAAGTTACCACCATAATTATCTCTTATACTGCTAGTAATGAGACTGTGTATTGCTCTCTTGTGGAAGTGTTGAGGATAAATAATAGATTTTCATTGAATTAATTTAAAAATATAATGGGCTTATCTCACTTGCTTTATGATGACACAATAGGAAGTTTAATTTTTGTTACGTGTCTTGGAAGAAGTATCTTTATTAAGACTAACATTGCTCCTCCTTATCTTTACATCATTCCTTAGAGAATGAAATTGCATATTTTGTCTGATATGTTTTCTCTTCTTTCAGATATTAACTATCCATAGAATTCTCTTTTTCTGACTTCTTTTCTTTTACATTACTACCTTCTGATGGTTTTATATACTTGATAGTTCTTCTCCTCGGCTGCATATTCTGTCAAATTTTCACTAAAACTCTCTCCTGTGCAGGTGCCTGGACAAAGCTGCAGTAGTCTCAGATGCCGAGAACAAAAATGGGAACTTTTCCAATCCATGGAGGCTTTGCACTGTAACTCAGGTAGAGGAACTAAAAATCTTGATGCGCATGTTTCCTATTTGGGCTACCGGAATTCTCTTTTCTGCTGTTTATGCACAAATGTCTACAATGTTTGTCGAGCAAGGGACAATGATGGACACGGCCATTGGCTCCTTCTCCATCCCTGCAGCCTCTCTTTCAACATTTGATACCATCAGCGTTATTTTTTGGGTCCCTGTCTACGATACCTTCCTCGTCCCAATTGCAAGGAAATTTACGGGAAAAGCAAGGGGCTTCTCAGAGTTGCAACGGATGGGAATCGGTCTCTTTCTTTCAATCTTTTGCATGTCCGCTGCTGCTTTGGTGGAGATGAAGAGGTTGGCACTTGCAAGGGAACTTGGTTTGGTGGATGAAGATATTCCGGTACCATTGAGCATCTTGTGGCAAATACCACAATATTTCTTGTTGGGGGCTGCGGAGGTATTTACATTTGTCGGGCAGCTTGAGTTCTTTTATGACCAGTCTCCAGATGCTATGCGTAGCTTGTGCAGTGCATTTTCTCTTCTGACAACTTCATTGGGAAATTACTTGAGCTCTTTGATTCTGACTGTCGTGACATCTATAACGACCGCAGGCGGGCAGGCTGGGTGGATACCGGATAACTTGAATGAAGGTCATCTTGATTATTTCTTCTGGCTTTTGGCTGGACTCAGCTTCTGTAACTTGGTGGTTTATGTCTTCTGTGCCAAAATCTATAAGCAGAAAAAGGCTTCTTAAAAGCTTTGCTTTTTTTATCATGGTATCTACCTCCACCAATTCTAGTCAAATGTTTGAATATAATCGATACATTTTTATTGGAATTTCATTTCATATTTCAATCCAAGTTCAAAGAATATGTTTGTAACATAAGTTGGGGTACAAGAGCATTGTCTACTTGTAACTGTATTGCACTGATATTTACACTTACACGGTGTAGAACTTCATTTTCTTCTTCTTATGTACATTTTAAAAATAATTTGTGTAATTGATGGTTTTGTTCTCTGCATTTGCATTTTAAAACTATAAAGAGAGATGTGCTCACAACTGCCTAGGAATAGCACCAGGGCGGGGCGAGACCGGGGATCACACTCCCTATTCCCGATCCCAGACGGTGAAAATCCTTCCGTCCCCGGCCCCGATTCCCGACAGGGACCCTATATCTACCCCCACCCCCGCCCCCTAACGAGGATCGGGCTTCTCCGACTCCGAAAATTCTCCGGCCAAAAAAAAAGTTAGATCCAACCCATTAACAAATCTAATGAGCTCAAATGTAAAAAAAAAATAAAAAATTAGATCTAACAGATCTATTCTTCTTCTTCATCATCAACAACAACATAGAAAGAGAGGGATATAATCATCAACAACATAGAGAGAGACAGAGATCTAATGCTCAAATATAATATATATATCTATATATAACAAATCGAGAGATCGAGAGAGAGAGAGAGAGGGAGAGAGAGAAAGAGAGAATATTCCAGATCTAGGGTGAGGATCGCGGCGGAGATTCGCGAAGCTTGGCCTCACTGCCGGATGGTGTCACTGTCGGATCGACGAAGCTTGGTCGGTGATGATGGCGGTGATTCGGCAAGCTTGGCCTCACCGCCGTTGGAGAAGAAAAAGAGACGGTGGAGTTGTGGTGGAGTTAAGGTCAAGGAAAGTGAACTGAGATCTCGGCGGTAATGGGAGGAGGTAGAGAAGGGAGATCGGCGGTGGGAGGAGAGAGATCGACGGAAGGTTTTAGAGAGAGAGAGAGACAGAGAGAGATGAGAGGCGGTGATGATGAGTGAGTGTGAGGTTCAACCTATGTGAGTGAAAGGGTTGGTTTATATATATATATATATATAGGGGTAAAATGGTAATTTTGCTTCGGGGGAAATTCGAGGCCAGGGATGGGGACGGGTCGGGGCTTGAACACTGATTACCGTCCCCGGCCCAAAATTGATCAGGGTTTTAATTTTGAATACCATTCCCGTCCCCACGGGGGTATTTTTCAAGGAAAAACCATTCTCATCGGGGTCGGGAGATCGGGTTCCCGTCGGGCCGGGTTCAAATTGCTATCCCTGAGGTTCAGCCTATGTGAGTGAAAAGGGTTGGTTTATATATATATATAGGGGTAAAATGGTAATTTTGCTTCAGGGGAAATTCGAGGCCAGGGACGGGGACGGGTCGGGGCTTGAACACTGATCACCGTCCCCGACCCAAAATTGATTAGGGTTTTAATTTTGAATACCATTCCCGTCCCCACGGGGGTATTTTTCAAGGAAAAACCATTCTCATCGGGGTCGGGAGATCGGGTTCCCGTCGGGCCGGGTTCAAATTGCTATCCCTACAACTGTCCCATATCATTGTTTTTTTTTAGTAAATTACAAATATACCTCCTGAAGTTTGTTTAAAGTACAAATTGTCCTCTGTGTTTTGAAAAATTACAAATACTCTTATTAGAATTTTTTATTTAAAATAATTAGTTAAAAAATAAAATTCATAATTGTTCTCCTATACAATAAGAAAATTATCTAAATTATTAATTGAAATTTATTTCTAATTTCTTTAAAAACTGTTAATTGACTTGATGATTTATTAATAAAATGAACGATTTATTATGAAATTAGAAATCTCAGGTGCTGAAATGTAGTTTTCAAAACTACAGAGAGTAATTTGTATTTTAATCAGATCTTAAAGGTGTATTTATAATTTATCCTTATTTTTTTTTTAGTCTTTGGAGTAAAATATTTGTATGATGGACCTGAATGCTAAGCAGGTTTTTGTGGTTTAGAGTTGGGGTTTGAAAGATATTTGGAAAAAATATTTGTGGAACAATCCAAAAATAATGGCGTAATATATGAGAATCTTTTAGGTGTACAGATATAGATTTGCACTCCTATAAAAATAAAAATAAGATTATTTTATCACTATTCAATTGATTTGAGATTTTCCTATATTTCTCACCTGAAAAATGTTAGGCCCAAAGAGATTAACCAAATGAATGACGGAACATAACACTAAAATCCATATGTTTTTATAAATTATAAAATAGCCCTAACTAAATCATAAAGGGTGAATTATATTAGTAATTTTTACATTTTATCTATTTATCATTTTGGTCATTATAATTTTAATTTGTTTGATTTTGACTCATATTTTTTATTTCTTCTCAATCCGATTCAATTGATAACGTCGTTAATGAAAATTTTCGTTCAAAAATTTTAAAAGTATTATCAATTGGATCAAATTAACTCAAAATTTAAAATTAAACTAATTGAAAATATAATTTCGAGAATGACATAATAGTCAAAATATAAGATCTACTAATATAATTTGCTCAATCATAAACTATGACCCGTTAAATTATAAATTATCTCTTATGATTTTAGAAATCACATTTTGTCCCTTTAAATTTCTAATCACATAACAAATGACCACTTTTGTTAATAAATCATTAAATCTATTATCAGTTTTTAATGATATCAGAAATATGTTTCAATTAATAATTCTAATAATTTTATTGTTACATAAAAGAGAAGTTCGGAATTTTATTTTTCTGTTAATTCTGTTAAATAAAAAATTTCAATAAAGTGATTTTTGTAATTTCTAAAATCAGAGAAGGACAATCCATATTTTAAACAAATCTTTTTGTAATTTATCCAAAATTTGCTGCTTTTAGTAATTTGTTGGAAGAAGAGTCACTAAACAGAAATTAATCACTCGAAAATGTCTATGCATGCAGGAATTTTGCTTTTATCCTCTAAGAAAGGCGAAAGTCATAAATAAAATTCAATTAAAAGACGGATCAGTCGGTATTCTTTAATCACTATAATCTTTTTTCCTTTTATTTGTTTATTTCCTTTTTGACTTCAATATCTGAATTTGACGTTTTGATTTTATGTTGGGTTAAGTTAAAGGGGTTTTTTTTAAGGTCCCTGGTATTAATATTTTATAGCATAAAGGACACCAAATATTTTCATAATGTCTAAGGTCCCTCAAGTTGATACAGAGAAAATTAGTCCAGAGAAAATTAGTCCAGAGAAATTTCATCCAGAGAAATTCAACCCAAAGAAAATTCAAATTTCTCTGGGTTCAGTTTGACCAATTTTCTTTATTTCTTTGACCTTCCAGAGATTTTTTCAGATAAAATTTATACAATGGTCAAAATCCCAGAGAATTTCTCTGGATAGAAATTTTTTTGCAAACTAATTACTACCAAATCTGTGAAATGAAAAAATTCATTCTACATTCTCCTTATGATAATTTATATATAAATGAGTCAAAAATATAAACAAAAAGTCACATTACCCATGATAATAGAGAACTCCCTTCAACCAAAACCGAATCTGAAAGCAAAATACTTGATCCAAATCTTCACATCATCTGATGCAACATAAGTCCTTGATTAGCTAGCACCAACAAGAGAAGATGGAATAGTTGCTGAAAAAATGTAGTCAAAACCATAAGTAGAACGAAAATGTAGAACAAGGGATGACAAAATCCTTCAATTGTGAATATATATATACATATATATAACTATGACTGTCAATTAGGTGGAAGGGAATAAAAGGGAAGGAAAGGGAGAAGGTATGGAGGAAGCTGTTGTGAAAATTGAAAAGGAAAGGAAGAAGGTTGGTCCAGAGAAAATGAATGAAGAATTTCTCTGGATCACTCTAAGCTAGAGAAATTCTCTCAAAATCAATGAAATTTCTAAAGAAACATTTCCAGAGAAATTCTCTTTAACCCAGAGAAATTCCTTTCCAACTCAGAAAAATTCACAAAAACTCAAAAAATTTCAAAACAATCACAAAAACCCAGAGAAATTTCCCTTGCATGATTTCCTCAAAAACTCACTTCAGATTGATGTCCATGGGTTTTGAATGATGGATAGGCAGACAAAACACAGGTGTGAAAACTATGAACTGCAAGTTGGCACAGAGAAAATTCATATGTCCAGAGAAAATTCACAGTCTAGAGAAAATTCATCAACGTCCAAGGGGCATCACGATCTCAAAGAACACACTTCAAATTTGCAAAGCATAAATGTTACAGACAATTTCATCAATGTCCAAGGGGCATCACGATCTCAGAGAACTCAATTCCAGGAGTTGCATCTGAGTTGTTCCTTGTGCCCATTGTGGCGATGTGAAAATTTATGTTGTTTAGTACTTCAACCTTACCTGTTTCGACACCAGTTTGAAGTTTCAAAGGCAACTCTAGGTTCCAGAGAACCTCACCCATAGTCTGCCTCTCTACACTATGTTTGGCCAAGCAATTCATGACAATTTCCAAAAACTTCACAAATGACTCTTGATGTTGTTCCTTTCATACTTGTGTCTACAATCTGGTCTGCGGTACCATTATGGAAGTGAGATGATATCCACTCTACTAAGTTTACATCTTCCTCTTCTGCTACGGGATTCATTACCGACTTCGCAGAAAGCACTTCTAGCAGTACCACACCAAATGAGTAAACATCTGCCCTGTGATCTGTAAGTCTCTGTAACACTTGGAGCACAAGTTCATCGTCGCCGCTGCGCCGAAGAAGCCACACCCATTGGCGTGAGATCACAAACAGCGCATTCGAACCATCTTCTATGATGGTGAAATGTGATCCTCACCATGGCAAATACATGGCTTGTTGTCTGATGTACAGAGGCGATGTGGTGCCCAAAGACGTGAATGCTGCGGTGGCAACCATCTGAGGAAGATGTTACCTGCCGGAGCTCTATTGCCTAACGAAGAACAGCTCGATTACTCCATCGCGATTGAGTACGACAGCCCTCCTGTGCTCTACCAGGTCCCCAAGGTCGATCCATTGGACGTCGATTCCATCTCCATTCGCACCACTTCAATCATTTCCGTTTCCGAATGCGTACCAGTTGTCCATGTTGCTGTCCCGACCTTCGATAGTTTCGGGACAAAGAGTCAAATTTCTCTGATACATGTTTAGGGACCTTAGACATCAAAAAATAATTTTGTGGATCTCTTCCATTACGAAAAGTGGGAGAGGGACCTTAGGCCAATTTTCCCTAAGTTAAATACAAGGGTTTAGTACACTTTCAACTTATAAATTATCGTTAAATTATTTATTTAGTCTTTAAATTTTGGACTGAATCTATTAAATCATTAAAATATTTAATTCAAATCTATTTAGTTCTTAAAAAAATTATAAAAATAAAATATATTTCTAAGTATAAATTAGCAAAACACCTGCCTAATTAAGATTTATTATAGAAAAATCTTAAACGAAATCTAGTATATAATAGTAGATAAAGGTAAGCACATAGTTATTGTAGAAGATAAGTAAGAAAATACTATAGATAATTACTCTTATTGTTATATAGAAAATTCACCATAAGGACTGATGCCATTTTAAAAAAACAGAATAAAAATTTCAAAATTTTTTTGAAATAAAATTTTAATTAGATTTGGTATTTTACTATTTTATAATAAATATTTTATTTTTGTAATCTTTTTAAAAATTAAATAAATTAGAATTAAATATTTTAAGATTTAATCAATTCAATCGATAGTTTAGAGATTAAACAGATGTTAATTTTTAGGGACCTAGTAGACAAATAAGGGATTAAAAATATAATTTGATGATAATTTAAGAGTATAAAGGGTAATAAACCCTGATACAATTTTCATGGGATAACTGGTGACTAATTCTAAGCATGGAAATTGTGTTTGAATTATAAATTTTGATAAATTTTAAAAAGGAAAGAAGAGAAGAAAAAGAAAGTTGATAAATTGTTTTTATTGTATTTGATTCACATTCCCTTTTCAAATCCTATGCCCCATTGTCTTTCCAATTTGTTTTTCTTTCGGGACAAAATGAATTAATTTCTTATTGGGTAATGATTTTGCAAGTTTCGTTGTTTATATTGGTTTTTCCAGTTTCTGGCATGTGGTTTTGCTTTTTCATGAATTTCTTCAGAAATTGTGATCATCAATTGTCTCAATTGTATAACAGCTTATTGATATATATATATATATGCATTGCATCTCCAGCCCTTCATCAATTTTGTTTATCTAATTTGATTTCAAATTGAGTAAAAATGTTTGATTTGATATGAATTACTCCAATCCTCTCATCAAAAAAATTTCAAAAATTCAGCTCTTATCTCAAATTTATGTTTAAATCAAATTTGATGAAATATATATTTCCTATGTTTCTTCTTTTTAAATTTTCATCAAATTCTAATTTGATGGAGGATCTCAATTTGATGGAAAAAATGTCTCTCCCTCCATTTGCCCAACATTTGATGAATGGATTGGAGATGGATTTTGGTTACTTTTTCATCAAATTTAAATTTGATGCAAAACAAAATTGAGGATTGAAGATGCTCTTGTTAATTGAACTTGTTACTGAAACTGTCTTTTTCTTATCTTCAGCTTGTGTTGGGGGGACTGGTTGATCTAATCAAATGGACAATAAGGTACAGTTTATTCGATTTAGCATTGTTTGACATTTGTCCATAATCTATTTCTCTCTCAACTTACAATTTTAGTGATGCAATTGGATTTGCAGTATGAGCTGATTGAGAAGATTGGAGAAGGTGGGTTTAGTATGATTTACAAATATCGAGACTGTGTGACCAATGAGACTGTAGCTGTGAAGAGAATTTTTATTGTAAATGAGAATGGTGTACCTAGCTCTCTCATTAGAGAAATTTCCCTTTTGAAGGAACTGGATCATATCAACATAGTCAGGTGAGTGAGCCTTCTCTTATGGATTCCTTTCGTTTTTGACAGACAAGTTATGTTATACAGACTCGGATGCAAGCATTGAATGCGAGTACATATATTGAGATATATATCTATTAGTTAAGTAGGGATACAGGACACATTTTAAACACATAAACATTGCATATCATATAATTTTATTAGATAGGATATTGTAAATTAATTAGAAATGTATTTCAATTTAAATAAAATTTAGGAAAAATATGAAATTTACATATCCTATTCATGTAACAAGTTAGAAATGTTTCTTTACTAGTAAATCATATAAAATTAGAGAATTCAAGTGCCTAAATTAAGCAAGAGTGTCGGGACACGTATCTCACACCCGGAAAAGTAGAAGAGTCCATGTGACATAGTTGACAAGTAACAAAAAATGATATTAAATAGTCACAAAGGACAGGTTGGTTTAATTATTTCTGTTGGTCCCCTCCCCCCTCCTCCCCCAACTTAATGTTCTTTTACAGAAAAACGCATCAAAACTTAGCTTGCTGTTCTGACTGAAACACCTCCCATGGTCTTGGTTTTTCAAGATTTTGATAAATTTCTATTCTTTTTGCCTATATTAGTAATTTCCTTGTTTCTTTTTTGTGAGAGTGGGGATTTAAAGTTGTTTTGCCACATAAAAACTACATCTATTGCTCCATATGTCGTCAGTTGGAGGTGACACCTGCCCTGCATGGCTTGCAGGAGAAGCCACCAGAGGGTGATGTGGTGATGCCACATAGCGGGGGTGAGTCCATGTACCTACAGGTTGCAGTAGTGAGGGATGTATGTAAAATTTGACAGCTTTGCATGTAGGATGCAATCCTATTATCAGAAGGGTTCTTTTCTATTGAATGTCCTTTTAAAATGTGATGGTTCCATGTAAAAGCAAGCTCAATCTTAGATCTGGTTTATATGCTGCCTTGATTGAGCTGTCAATTTCTTTTTATAATTGGTTATATATCACTTATTTAATGAACTTCTCTGAACAATTTTTTAATGGAACTTTGGAAAAAGGTTGCTGAATGTACTGAGCAATGGAGAAAGTGTTGATCTTGTCTTTGAGTGTCTAGACCTGGACCTGAAGAAGTTCATTAATTCTTATCCAGAGATTGCAAAGGATCCACATATGATAAAAGTGGGTGAGATCCTTCCGCCATTTGAATTTTTGAAATGCATGGTACTTGATGTCAACAGCTTTGTGTTATATTTTGACTTTTGAAGTTAATTTTAGTAGGGAAAAAATACATTGAGCTGCTTCCATAGACTATAATATCTTTCTATAAATTAAATGTTGTTCCCTTTTGTTCTTTTTTCTTTTTGATATTTTTTTTGCATCTGGACTCTTGTGACCATCATGTCATTGAGCCACGGTATTAGTCTACATTATTTGATATATCTAGGTGTCATCTCGATCTTTTTTTAAAAAAATATATTTCGCAACATTTTTATTGAATTTTGATCTTATCAAACCGAGTCTTGAACTAAAATGATTTTGATAAAATAGAAAAATAAGCCGGCCATATTGTCAAACACTTTGTTCAAGAGATGAATGCGGGTGCTTTTATTTCCACACACCTCATTATCTTCGTTCACACACTTGATTTCTGCATTTTTGGTTCAGATGTTGATTTTAACCACATACTTTTGTTTGTAAATCAACTTCCAAACCAAAAATTCAGTCAAATCAAATAGTTTTGTTCAGAAGTTGATTTCCAAACCAAATAATTTTATTTGAAAGTTGATTTCCAAACCAAAAAAGGTATGTGCATTAAGAGGAAATAATGTGTGGAAATAGAAGCTCCCGATGCATGCAGATGTGCACACAGAATATTGAGTTTGTAAGGGATAGGAGAATCAATATCCAAGGGTTGGCCCAATTCCCCTTATTGTTTGTCTTTCCTTTGTTGGTCCGATAGTTTCTTCTTGCCTGTGTGATAGATTGTGGGTAGTTATTGGAAATAGCAACAAAATTTTATGGGACTATGTCAATTGACTTCATTAAATATCTATTTGCAGAGATTTATGCATCAGATTCTTCGCGGAGTCACCTATTGCCATGCTCATGAAATTCTACATCGAGACTTGAAACCTCGGAATCTTCTGATAGATCTCAATAACAAAATGGTGAAGCTTGGTGACTTTGGGTTGGCCAGGACATTTGATGTTCCTCTCGGGACCTATACTGGCAATGTATGTCACTCTTCAATGCTATTTGTCCTAAATTTTGTTTTATATCTGACAATTTTGTTGAATAGAAGTTGATAGTACCTGCAAATACAAAAAGTTGTTTATGTAGCAAAAGAAATAGTTGTTAGCTTTCTTCTAGGATTTTCAAGCCTAATAAATTCAATATTGCACCTGATGTTACATTTGGAAGTGCATTTGTCATGCATAACCAAATCAAATGAAACTAAGTCTTGTGTCCCAATCAAATGCATTTGTAATGCATGATATACAAAAATAACTCTTTTCAAAATTTGCATATGTAAGTGTTCTTTCTGATTGTTGGCTGGATAATTAAAGCAAGTTTACACTTTGATATATTGGGGCATCAGTGAAAGAAAATGTCTTCACGGGATTAGGCTGAGACCTTCGTGAAATTAAGTAGGGAAGTTACTTTTCACTCAAGATCATATTCAACAAAAATGGTACTCTTATTTTTTTTTTAACTCTTTTTCCAAAATGCCAATAGGAAATTGAGAGGTACGTAAAAAAAAAATTCGTTTGTCTTACCATTAAAAAACTGGAGCTTCTTTTCTCACTCTTTCAATTCAGATTGTCAGTGCAGAAAAGGGTACACTCTCTCTCTCTCTCTCTGTGGTCCGCAATTTGACCATCTATAAATTTGTCAACACAACCACTACAGGGGAGAAAAAACGGCTTCAGAAAATTCTTATCTCACTCCCAAATGACTTGGAGACATAAGAAGAAAGATATTTTACTAGCAAATAATAACCTTCTAAATTTTCTCTCGAAATTATTTTTCCATTAAAGAAAACAGACTCCAAGGGACATTTAGATAGGTTTTCTGTGTAATAGTTAAATGATACTTTTAAATTCATTAGATGAAATTGTTACATTTCCTGAATGTTGACTTAGAAGATTGAGAGCAATTTAAAACCTTTGGAATCCAAAGGATGATGTACCCTCTCCTCCAACTAAGATAACCAACATATGTTTTATTTCCTTGTAAAATTAGGTAAATTTTCTTAAAAAATTCTCCTGAAATTGGGCCTACCCTTTTGAAATGCTTCTGTCTGGATCCTCTTTTTTTTACGTAGCTCATTGTAAGAATAAATAATACTTGTGATAACAAATGTTATTCCTCCAGACTATTACGTTGAGCAGAAAGGCTACAATTGTAGATTGGGGCTGTTTTGCCAAACCCTTACTGGGAAATTTCTTATCTCTCCCAAATTTGCTTACAGAAAATGTTATCCTTCTGGACTGTGTATTAAGAAGAGGTTCTTGACTTCTAGTTGGTTTTATTTTTTTATTTTTGATAAGCAGAGGTTATTTCTAGTTTGTTTTCATTTTAACTGTACTCCAAGAAACTGCTTTGAATCATATGAGTAAAATCCAGACTTCATGATTGTTAATCCGAGGTGGTGTTCAGTTGTCTACTATTCTCACACTTCAACTAGTTCTAGCCAGGTGGGAACTCTACCATACAGGGCACCAGAACTCCTGCTTGGTTTGAACTACTCAACCCCAGTTGATGTGTGGTCGGTTGGTTGTATATTTGCCGAGATGGTGACCCAGCAGCCTCTGTTCACTGGTACTTGCGAGGTGAACATATTGATTGAAATGTTTAGGTACTATAAAGCTTAAGCACACAGACTTAAATATGCAAGTCTATCTTTCAATTCTATTCAGTCCTATTCACATACAATTATTTTATGTGAAGCATGTTGGGTGTGCCAAATGAGGCAACATGGCCCGGAGTAACTTCATTATGTGGTTATATTTCTACAATGACTGAGGTAAAGGACATTTTCAGGTTTGTTTTAGAAATTTTTTCGGAGACATCAATTTTTACTTTGCTCTTCTTCTGCCTAACAGTTTCCCTCTCATGTGAGAAGTCTTGCAGAAGTTGTCACTGGTCTTGAACCTGCTGGATTTGATCTTCTTTCTGTAAGTTTCGGTTTTACTATATTTCAGAGTGACAATCAGAACACTAGTCCACCATGAGAATCAGGAATCTTTAACAGACCGGCACAGTTTTTGCAATGATAGATTCCCATACAGAGCTCATTGCTCCAGTTTTAACCATATGACCATTGTCTGGTCATTTGGTAGAGTAAAATGCATCTGATCATCACTTTTATGAAATTAATTTAAGCTTTATAATTTTTGAACATCTGTACATGCTGAAGGTGGAAATTTAGTCCCCATCTAATGGAGGACTAAATTGGGCATTTATTTATTTATTTATTTTAAGCTCGTGGTAGCTCCAATAGTTAATTAAATTCATGATTCACTTCTTTTCTTTTATTTTTAATTTTTATTTTCCAGAAAATGCTCTGCTTAAATCCAAGTGGAAGAATTACTGCTGAGGATGCACTCAAGCATTCGTACTTCGGCAATGTTGCAGGTATAGCCATCCCTCATCCTATCTGCTTGCTGGAATGGACAGGTATAGCAATTAGGTTATGATTTGAACTAGAGTACGCAACTTTATGGATTGCATTTTCACCCCTTGAATTAGATTTATAGTCTCTTAGTAGGAAAACTCCTAAGTTTTCTTTGCTAGGACAGGTTACTTGAGTCTTCATTTTGACCATTGTACATCCATTGCAAAAGCATATGGAGGTGGTGATCGTTTACGAAGGTGATGTCAACAAATTTATTTTGAATATACGTGGTGCATCAGTACGTGTGTGTGAGAACATAGATGCACTCTTCCATGAAGAGTTGAAAATCAATCTACAAGCGCAATCTCATTCTCCCAGTTTTGAATTCTCAATCCATTTAGACTTTTTAAGATAGGTGTCATCCAGTGCCTTCACCCCTAGCGTGTTGAAGTTGCAACTTAATGAAGTTGGGTGGGTACTACTTATGCTCTGAAAATGAAGTGAAAAGGTTACCCTTTTATAATTGGGGACGTTTTGAAGAATAATTTGAACATTATGCACTGTAATGATGAATTAGATCACTTGGAAATCCAAACTAAACAGCTAGCTAGAATGAAAGTGTTGATTCGTTAGTACTCCTTTGTAGTGCACGTCCTATAATGCAGCCACATATTTACCCTTGGTAGATGTGACTCATTTGACTGCAACCAGAAGTATAGCCACCATCAACAACAAGATTGTGTGCTGTTATGAATCCAGCATCATCGCTCGCTAGAAACAAGGCAGCATGCGCAACATCTTCCACACTTCCACTTCGCCCACGCAGTAAACTTCCCTTTTTGCCCACTGTCTTACTCACTTCTTCGGGACTCAAATCCATCTTCCCTAGGAACGTCTGGTAGGCACTCACAAGCATCTCCGTAGGGACACCATGTGGCGAAACACAATTCACGCGAATCCCGTGTATGCCTAACTCACAAGCACTGCTCCTTGCTATTCCAAGAACAGCTTCTTTGGAGAGCGTGTAGGCATGTGATGCTAGGCCTCCCATGATGGCTGCCGAGCTCGATGTGCATATGATGGAGCCTCCTTTTCCTCCCTTGATCATAGCCCGTGCTGCGTGCTTTATTCCGTGTACAATGCCGTTCATGTTAATGGCAAGTAGAGCTGTCATGTGGTCCATTTTGAGGTTGGTGATGCTCCCAGTGGGTCCTCCAATGCCGGCATTATTGAACAGGATGTCTAGATGGCCTTTCCACATCAGCGCTAGTTGCACGGCTGATTCCATGTCCGTTTCCTTTGCCACGTCACAGTGTACGTAGCGTCCACCAATAGAATCAGCTAGGGTTGTCCCCAGTTCATCCAGTATATCAGCGATGACAACATGGGCCCCATTTCCAGCAAATAGTTTTGCGGTGGCGGCTCCGATCCCTCTTGCACCACCAGTTATAAGTGCAACTTTCCCTGTCAACCTGGTAATACATAATCAGGGAGGGAGGGAGGGTATCAAGTTTGATTTCTGAGAAGCTAACAATGAGAAGGAACACAAAGAAAAAGAAATGCATAAGGAATCATAAGAACCGAGAAAGAAAATCAAATGTTCGATAACTGGCTGCATTTAAATTTCGAAAAAAAAAATGATTAACCAAATCTTTAGAAACCAACTGGGTTTCTTATTTAGAAACATGTTGGTTTCTATAATCCATAAAAATGGCTCTGAAGAAGATCAACAATAGGACAGGATCAACCTTTTTGCCGATGAGCTGTGTCCATTGTCATGCATATCACAGTTTAGCTCCATTTTTGTCCTTAGAAATTTACTAAGTGGTGTTTGTTATATATATAAATGGTTCAGAATTCATAATAAAGATTTAAAAGAAAAAAAAGAGTGTGAAAATGAAAACGAAAACGAAGTAGGTAGTGTTTATTCGATTCTTTGCTGTTGGATACACACCTTTGTCATTTCTTACATCTACTTTCAAACCATGAGATTTGTAACTTTTATTATTATTATTATTATTATTTTATCTTGGTGAATGAATGAATGAATGTTTTAGTAATATTCATATTTGATTAATTTACAGGTACAGGTGGTGATCTACTCCTCAACTGAACATTGCCTGAAACGCAAGGAAAAGATTACATTTTACATGTCCCATTCATTTTTCACTGATTTTGTATTTTTAATAATGGAGGGGTATATGAATAGTCTTGGACCAAAAAACATAATGTAGATATGGAAAACAAAAGGATTGATAAAACTGTCAAGAACTACAGGATTTTCTAAAGGCATAGCCATTGTGGCGCGATGGTGCAAATTAGTAATGGAATCTCCAAGAAAGTCTATGCTCTTCACTGTGGCCCTACATTGGATGAATTCTTTCCAAATGTTGAGATATGATTGTCAACCTGACCTTTTTATTTTTTTAATTTATGAAAAGTGTCCGTGTGAGGCAATTTTGATAAGCGCATATTTGAGAGAAACCAAACGCTTTCCAAATTAAAATGATATTTATGACATCAAAAGATAAAAATGGGATCTAAATATGTGTGTTAAGTGCTTGTTAATTTAGGAAGTGTGTATTCCAATGGTGTAATTAAGATGTTTGTTGAATATATATAAATTAGAAAATAGTAGAAGTGTCAAAAATTAGCCATACTCTCTTCTCTCATTCTGTCATATCTCCTTCCATTTTCTCTCTTTCTCCCCCTCCTAACAAATTTATTAGTTGGGTAACAAATTTGTAATAGTTACTGCCTTGGCTTAACCATTGAAGTGCAAGGAAGTAAATCTGGAGAATTTAGACGGGATTTAAAAGATTCCTTTAATGTCACTTGAAACAGACAAACAATTCTGGTCGGTGGTACCGAAATTAACACTCCGACGGTCTAGTCAATTCTATCTCTGAGTTCTTGATATTTTATCTTTCTTAGAATATAAGTTATTCTCACATACCTCTTTCCTCAGTCTCTTTCCTTTTTTTATAGAATCTTTCTCTAGTCCCACTTTCTTATCATGCTTTTTTGGAATGGGACAGCATAGTTGTTCAACAGGACCCTTCTGACTACCCTAGACTACTCGGCTTCGGCATACGGCATGCATATCCCTAATTTGGCATTCAATATGATTCTCAAAGTTTACTCGGCTCTAATTCAACCCAATAAATTTGCCTAGTGAGCCGATCTCAGATTGGTCCCAGTTGAATTGGACTTGTTTCAGACAGTTCACCTTTTTGGGCATCTATTTAATTATGGGTCCCACTGGTACTTGACTCACCTATTGATGCTCTTAGAAGCAAAAAACAAAGTAGTGTGTAGCATACCTTGGGGTACCTATTTTTAACAGTGTAAAAATGGCTCGTGGCTTGGGGTGGACCCAACCCATTTAGGCCCGTTTGGGCCCGAGCCCAGCCCGAGCCCCTAGACTGGGCTTGGACCATCATTTTGAAACCCAACCTGTGGCCTGGCCCATTGACCCGATTAAGGCCCATTCAAGGTCTGACTTGCGCCGAAGCCCGATATCTTTTTCAATGGAAAATAATAAAATTTTAGTAGAAAAAAATTTGAAAAAACAAAAAATTTGTCAGGCCCGCCCAAGACTCGAATACCTTAGGCTTAGGTCTGGGCTTAATTTTTTGGCCCGTGGGCCACCCGGCCCGATCCAAATTTTGGCAGGAACCTACGAGGGCTAACATGGGCTGGCCCGGGCCCAAGCTCGAGTGAGACGCGCCAGATTTATACCCCTACCTATTTTGTAGTATCCATTTGGCATATATGAAAAAAGTTCAAATAAATTGATTTTTAAAAGGGTTTGACTCCATCAATTTAAGAGTGCGTTTAAGTTTGGTAAGTTTATTTTGAGACCGATTTTGATGATTTGAACATTTTACTTTTCAAAAGTAAAATATTTATGTAAAAAATTAAGAAGAATAGATATTGATAATTATATGTTTGAATCATATTTATTTTAGAAAAATTGATGACAAATATAATTTCAAGAATATTTATCTATTTTTTATAATACAAATATAATTCAAATATATAACTATCATGTCTGATCATTTTAATTTTTATATAAATATTCTACTTAACGATTCCTTAAAAACTTGCAAAATACAAACAATCTCAAAGGTCTTTTTTAGAAAGTGGGTTAAAAGTCACTTCTTAATTTTTAACTCATTCTGAATCATATCATATCTCACATTTTTTATACATTTTCTTTTTTAAAAAATAAAAATAAAAAAAAAATTAATTTTTAATCATCTCTCAAAAACACTCCAAAGTAAAAATATGGAGAATATATGGAGGATGATCAAATGTGTAGACTTATATTTTTTAACTTTTGTACTTCTTTTGCACTAAAAATAAATAAAAAATAAAAAAAAAATGAAGAAGAATAGACATTTGGTGAGCCGAATAATTTTTAAATTCTCAGAGACATAGGACTTGTTTCGCGTAATTTACCTTAATATATCTTTTTATTTTATTTACATTACATCAATTATTATTTAAATCATATTACTTCTCTATTACTTTTTATATATGTATGTATAAATATATTTTTTTTATAAAAGATAAAAAAAAAATTATCCTTATCCCAAACAATCCGTTAAGATATATTTTGAGTAAAATCAGGGATGATAATTATAATTTAAGAACTCGTTTGTCAATTATATATTTTAATAAAAAAAATTAAAATTTATTAAAATTTATCATTTCATTTTTTTTTTATTTCTTTTATATATCTTTCTATAAAAAGTTATTAAAAAAAAAAACTAAAATAACTAAAATAACCTGTCGTCAAACAACCCCTAACAATACTTAAACGCAAGGCAAGGCAAGGCAAGGCATTACTGGATCACAGAGAGAGAGAATCTGCGTAAAAATGGAGGAGATGAGAGGATCGTCGAAGAAGATGATAGCGACGCAGGCGGAGATGGTGGAAGCGAAGGTCCCAATAGCATACAGAGACCAGTGCGCACACCTGCTGATACCCCTCAACAAGTGCCGCCAAGCTGAGCTATACCTCCCATGGAAGTGCGAGATCGAGCGTCACTCCTACGAGAAGTGCGAGTACGAGCTCGTCATGGAAAGGATGCTCCAAATGCAAAAGATCCGCGAACAAGAGGCCAATTCCAAGCTCTCCCACAAACAGGGCACCATTCCTCTCATTCCCAAGACCGCCAATGCTTAATCCCCCCCCCAAAAAAAACCAACTACTTCAATAAATCCCTGGTCTGTTCTACTTATTCAGTCAATCTGTGTTTTTTTTTTTTTTTATAAAAAATCTCTACACTGTTTTGATTTTTCAATAATGGCTATTATGCACAATCTAGGGTTTCTTGATGGAAGATTACTTGCTTGTGTTTTGGGGTTGTTCTTTAATTTAGTGTTTGATAGTTCATGAGTTTGACTCAAAACTTGGATACTATAGTGGGTATCGAACGATTTGTTCTGTTTTTTATAATCCTGTGTGTCTGGATGATTATGCCTTTGGTGGTAATGCAGCTTGTTTATGGTTCTAATTGGAAAGTTGAATGTTTTGAATGTGCAAATTTGTGGCTTCATGGATAATCTATATCCACTTTTGTTTGTTCAGTTAGGCTTGTGGAGCAAAGTCTTATATATATATATATAATCTTAGAATGTCATATTACTTAAAGAATCCCCAAGCTATTTTTCCTTCTGGTGTAAATGGCTATTTACTTGGACATATTTAGACACAAAAAAGGGTTTCTTTGGGTAACCCTAGTTCGGGGTCATTTTAGTTCAAAACTATTAATTGGGTGGTTTGTGCCTTAACTGATTTCACTGTTAATCAGATCAAATAGTAGCTTAGTTGTAATAGAATGTTGTCGCAGCTTTGGTTTTCTAGCAGTTCTATCAATTATACAATGAGTACTGGATGTGTTCCTTTTGGTGTAAATGGCTATTTACTTGTACATATTTAGACACAAAAAAAGGCTTCTTTGGGTAACCCTAGTTCGTGGTCATTTTAGTTCAAAACTATCAACTGGGTGGTTTGTGCCTGAACTGATTTCATTGTTTATCTGATCAAATAGTAGCTTAGTTGTAATAGAATGCTGTCGTGGCTTTGGTTTTCTAGCAGTTCTATTAATTATACACTGAGTACTGGATGTATAGGAGGGTACATCCATACCATACACTTAGAAAATATGAGGAAGAAGAACTCCGAAAATATGAGGAAGAAGGAATATATTTCTGTTATATTCAAAACTTCTTATTTTACAAGACCAAATGACACTCCTTATATAGGAGATATTACAAATATCATTATAATCCATTATATGCCACTTACATATTATATATTACCACTATCTACCACTATCATATTATATACATGCCACTATCTACCATCAACACCACTATCATATTCTATACATGCCACTATCTACCACCAACACCACTATCATATGCCACTATCTTATTATATGCATTAACACAAATTTCCAGCAAAAAGGTATACACATTCACAACCTATAAGTGAATATTTGAATTAGCCCTAATCTCCTTGCTTTTCCTAGAACTTTAAGATTTGGTAGAAGGCTTTAGGCATGATTTGATTTCCTTGGTTAAACGGAGATTGCGATAGCTTATACTCTAGCTAATTTTAGGTTGCTGATCTTTTCCTTAAGCTTCCTATGTATAGCATCCCTAGGGGAAGATGTGATCTCCATAATCCCTGTTGCTTCAACTTTACTTGAAGAAACATTGTCTTCTTTTGGAGGAGAGAACTCAGCCACAACTTAAAGCAACCCTATCGTTTTTGTCGGTAAGACCCCTTGAACCATCCTCATTGGGTTGTTTGGATGGACAGTTTGCTTCATTCTTAGTACTTTGTTCACTCTTGGAATCACACCCATCCTTGGAATAAGACAAGGCAAGCTCCTCGAAATCAGTGTTGCCAATCGTAATACATATTGTGTATCATTGTATCACTTTTCAGTATTGTGTATTTTAAGATACATAATCATATATGGATATAGATAATAAAAAAAAGTATTTTCATATAATATATAAATATATTGTAAGAATAAAGTACTAAATCATATGACTAACAACTTGAAAATTCTCTCTAAGAAACTTACAAATTGGTTAAAGAGCTAAATATACATCCATTTAAAACCCAACTATCCAACTCATAAGAAATTAGGAAAATTTTGAAAATTTAATAATAAAAGATAAATGACATTTCATTTCAAATATGAAAGATGAGTCATAAGTTTCTTTCTTTCTTTTTTCCAGTCGGGCCTGGCTGCTTTGATTTTAGGTCCATTTGGTTCATGATTTGAGACTATTTTTCTAGATATAAGTAGTCCCAAACATACTTGTTATACAGTTTATTGACATGGTCAAAACAAGCCTTTTTGGCTCAAATCTTGGTTCTAAACTCAAATGCTACAATATGAGAGTCATTTTTTCTTGCGAGTTCATTTGGAATTGGGTCTCTTTTGTAAGGGATTTTCGGAGAACATAGTTCATGGTTGTTCAGTGAGTGTCGGTCATGGGATTGATAAAGAAAAAAAAGTTGTTAACAGGGTCAAAAGTGATGGAGAAGATAAAGATGAATTGATTGTTTGGTATACGTTGAATCACAGTACAATATGAAATCATATGATAGCGATTCAACTCACCAGCGATATGTGTCTGTGTTTCGTATCTTTTTTCATACAATATACATGTCACATATTACATGATATTAACCACACGGCAGTTGAAATAATTTGAGGATAAGGTGACTTTTGGCTCATTCTTCTCATCTTTAGGAAAAGCATGCACACTATCTTTGCCCTTATAATTCTTTACCTCTTAACCTCATAAGGATCACCATATCCCAAATTATGCATGAAGGATTTTGAAATTTCCTTATTAGCATGAATCTCGACACAACCTCTAGTAAAAGTAAGTCCACTAAGTGATTGGGTATATTCATCAAGGTACAAAATAAAGTAGTACCAATAACACTAGCTACATAACTCAAACCATCTTCGGCCCATAGCTCAAGGGAGATATTATAAAATTTCACTCAAATTGGGACACTAGAAAATTATTTCTTAGTCAATTGCATACCGCAATGCCATCTCTTGAAAACAATTAATATAATCCCAAAATAAAAAGTTCTACTATCAACAAAGCATCCTCATTTTTAATCTTAAAAATAAAAAAAAAAAACCATTGTCTAGAGTAACTATATCATCAAGATTATCGTTCTACAATTTTTTGGGCCTTGACTTAATCTTTTGGAAGGATAGTCTTTTATCAATAAAAAGCCCGCTAAAGCATGTTCCCACTTTAGAAAACCATGTCTTGAAATTTCAATGGGAATCTTTAGATCATCATTTTCAAAACCCACAGTGTATGAGCATGAAATAATGTTCTCGTATAATCCTGTTGATCAAGTTTACGCTCCTCCGAACGTCGTCGCTTCACCTAAAAACACAAATGTGAGCTAGCTGGCATCTGTACAGTGTATCGAGTATGACGTCACTCT